TATCTATCTATCTGTTTATCTATCTATCTATCTATCTATCTATCCATCTATCTATCCATCTATCTATCCATCTATCTACCCATCTGTCTATCCATCTTATCAAATTCGCGTAACCACACTGGCGATAGTGCGCCTTTTCCCTGAATTCATTCTATTCTGTCAAGTTGTCCGTGAATTCTTTCGCTAACCAGTCTTTTTATATTGATAGCGATACTGTGCAGACATAAACTATACTAAAGGCACTCAGTAGCAAATTAATTTGGGACGTGTCGTTTGTAATATTATTTAACTGAATGTGCGGTACACGGGACACCTCAGGTTTCAGGGGAACAGTAGTCGAGATATCAAATTTCTTAGGATCGTTGAGTACTCTGAACAGCTCACTATCGGTCACACCTCTCTTTGTACTCATCAAGTAGGCTCATTTCCTGAGTTTTCATCGCTCTTATTTTCTACCTAAATACCTACTAGTGAAAGAAAGGGGGCCTTCTCTGCGGAGTTATTTATTAGAAAATGCTAACTGAACAGTTACAGACCATTGGACGGGAGCAAAACCCTCATATGCATCTTGTTTACAAAAACTAAAAATCCGTTTTCTCCTTGAACGCGTCTTCCTGAACTTTCCTTGATATTCATCGACTGTTGCCCGAATGCAAGCAAACGCGACTTTACAAACTCCGTGATAGATCTCACTTTTCAAGAGACGTGAATCGGATTTATGAGAAAACATATTACTTGCATGCCCCCATCAGCAGTAGCCACCGTTACACTAATAGAAGCAGTAGGCCCAAACGTTGACGGCCTGACAGCAGAAAGTACCGGACACTAAGAAATTGGGATACCAATGTTCATTTGTTGTGACTAATTATAAATGTACAAAACCAGCTTTTGGACACACTAACCCAACAACTTCGGGTTGAGTATGAACACCAAACAGATAGATTGGTCTGTAGGACTACTGAGACAACCTACTCACGTCATTCGTTGTGCTACCCTCCTGGGATCATGAGTTGTCCGATTGGTCGCGGAAGGTTCTGTCTGTGGCAAAACGGATTGACAGTAACTGGTTGTTTGGGATTTACAAATCACCAAACTCGCATGCCACATCATATATCCGGAGAACAATTGTTCCCTGAAGTTTAACTTCCGTTTTGGAGTGTCCGCCTAACTGAACAGGAACCCCAAAATGATTTATCACGTGATTTATGACATGTTTATTGTGAAATGGATGATCGAAGCACAAGTTAGTCTCGCTGCCAGTCGGCAAACATGGTTTCACTCGTATCCGGAATGTCGCGGTTTTGACTAATCCCACTGGGGTGCGGAATTCTGATCAGTACCAACAACACTTGCGTCACATATCTCAGCTTTCAGTATAGACTGACTCGGTTTGTAAGACTGAGCCTTCGTTGAGACTCCGCTGGTTCTCGATCATCATGTTTCTCCAAAAAAATCAGCCCCCATTTGCAGATGTAATACACTACTCATAAGATTGCTGGAACTTCTTCGAAAAGCCACAACCAGTTTTGTCCTTCTTAAGGCTCATCAGGTAGGCACAGTCCCCGATTTTGTTGGTCAACCTTATATTCTACTTGAACCCAGATTGCACGAAATTAGAGAAATGCATGTCAGTTTGGTTTTGACGGAACACTCCCCTGGAATCCAGCCGGATCTCCCGTTTATAATGTTTTCAAACTCCTAAGTGGTCGTCTAGACGGGGCGTGTGATAATTTGGAGAGAAACACCTGTGAGCAAGTGGGAAGCAAAGCGCGTTTCCATGTTTTCACATTCCCCTTCGAGCGATGATGAATCTAGTTCACATACGCACTTTAACTGTTTGATTTTTGTCCTATCCTGATTGAATGAGGTTTGGGAAAAAACCGTCACTTGATGAAAACGCTACCTAGTAGGGCGTTGCACATTTTGAATGAGGACAGACGTACTTATTTTGAGGACGCAATCTGCAGCGACGTGTTACATGCCCATCGTGCTCCTCTTTAAGGTCACCCTTCATCCGCCATCACACAAAACATATTTGGTGTTTAGATTTACCTTGTTCTCTCAGCCCTTCATTCGAGGAGATAGAAAAAGCTGTGGGTTTGGACGAGACAAACAACCAATCAGCATGCAGTGCTCATCCACTGAGCAATAGGCTTTCATCTGGGCTTTTCTATAGAAAACGTTCGCATTAATACCAGTTACTTCAAAACCCAGAGGTGATAAACACCCACGGGGAGATGTGTAGGCTCCACTCCTTGTTGTTGTGCTGACTAGTCAACTCTCCAGCATGGAAGAAATAAACTCACCCCCCCCAAATAGTACATACACTCAGTCGCATCAGAACTTGGCATCCTGAACGGGGGAAAAACGCTTTCCTCCTTAGCCTGCTTGATTACCATTTCAAATGATCTACCTGAATAGGTGAGTGAGTTTATCTGAGCGTTCGGACAACTTGACACCAAGCTGTAACCGCTGTGGAATTTTTACACATTTTATGATTTATTTGAAGAACAAATCACTCCCATTATAAAGCTTTCCACCATTTTCTAGGCATCATTCAGGGTGATGAAAAAGTGATACTTGACCGATTTCAGTACAAAAAACTTCCGTTTATTTTTTTCTATATAAACAAGGAACAAATATGATTCACAGTATTATATCTTACTTTTTATGGATGGAGAATTCCGCCAGATTCCAGTACTTCTGGAAAGGACATCAACTCCTTTCAAGGCCAGAGTGACATTCTCCACAGCATTGCGTCGTAGCCCTGAAGAAATGTGTCACTGTTTCTGGCGTTTTCCTGAACCCCTTGAGCCTTTTGGTTTTCACGAGAGACTCAACTGAATCTCTTGTTTATGATGTTCCACAACTGAATGTGCTGCACACAGACCGCCTCATGATTCATTTGGCACGATATTCGAGATATCGCAGTATATTTTCATAAAGGAAACTACTCACAAGGTTGCTGAAGACTCTTCGATAGCCCACGACCGGTTTCGCCCTTCCACTTCGGGCTCATCAGGTAGGCGCAGTCCCCGAGTTTCCGTTAACCTTATGTTCTACTTGAACCCAAATTGGACTGTTTTCGAGAAATACACCCATTTGCAAATCAATTTGCTTTTCACGAGAGAGTCAACTGGATCTCTCTTTCGTGATATTCTACAACTGAATATGCTGCGCACAGGCCGCCTCATGATTCAGTTTGCGCAACCAGTCCAATCGAGGTTCAAGTAGAACATAAGGTTGACGGAAACTTGGGGACCGCGCCTACTCATATTATCAACGAAAGCTTTCTTGCGCGATTTATTTCGGGACAAACGAAAAGAAGGTACCTCAAGAAGGTACCCAGCTGAATCTTTTGTTTGTGATGTTTCCGGGTATTTGTCACGTAGCGGGTCATCTGGTTAGGTTTTTTAAAATGTCGATAGTCAACCACGATCATCTCGTCAGCGCGATTGCACTGTTGCTCCTACTAAGTTCTTACTTCGAAAACGTGATTTTTCTCAAAATCAATATGTACACACTTGTCTATTCCAACCATATCTTCTGCAGCGCTCCATGTTCTCCAACTCAAAAGCCAATGAGAATGCGTCCTGCAAGATGCATCCATGCCTTACCAGTCACCATCCTCGTTTCGTTGCTACTGGTCTTTTGGTGGGCATGGAAATATGATCTTACTGTTGTCTACCTAAATGGACTATCGAACTCAAATACCCCGGAAACTCTCATGGTTGATCCCTATTTGGTGAAACCTTACTGGGCAAACACGAGTTTTCGGAGTTTACCGGATCTCGAACAGCTCAACTGGCCAGCTACCGAATATTCTCCGGTCCCGGTGGCTAGAATTGACAAGTTGACAGGCTCCATGGAACCCCATCCACGTGCATTTCAGCCAGTGTTCAGCCGGGGTCAGCGAGCACTCGTTTCACGTCTATTGGCTTTGTTCGCACAAGTCCTCAGTACCAACGGCCTTGGAGACCGGTTCATCATCAATGCCGGATCACTACACGGTTCACTTCGACATCATGATATTATACCGTATGATGACGACGTCGATGTGTGCATGGAACTTTCTGTGCTGCCCAGAGTCATTGAACTGTTTCGTGCTCATGAGCCAGACTATGTTCTCTACACTGAAAAGAGACGAGGAAAACTCTACACTCGACAAATACCGCCAGAATTGGAACAGACTGATGCGGAGTACAGCCGAAACACTAGCAAGTATCCATGGTTCTGGCCCGCGGTGGATATTTGCTACTACACAAATAATAAAACACATGTGTACGAAGTTGGCGCCAATACCTGGAGACGTACCTGGCTGATTTCCGAATTTTATCCATTATTGTTCCGCCCATTTGGTCATCGATGGTATCCAACCCCGTTCAATCCCATCCAGTACATCCGAACGATGGTTACACAGGATCGATTCTGTTTTCGTCCAGGATATTCTCACGTGTTTGAGACGAGTCTAAAGCTTCAGGCAACTCCGTGTCAAAATCTTGGCATGCGCTTTGCTTTTGTAGAACGTTCAAGAGTCAATAACAGATCAATCACCTTTCCACCCCGTGCCAGTGATCATCTTAAACAACTCGTAATCTGTGAGGAGCGCTTGATTATACAATCACGAATGAACCAAGCACCAACTGTCTTCCACACTTTGCAGCTGCCTGTTCATCCAGATTTGGCCATGCTGGATACTTATGACTATGGAAAAAACAAGGAGGGATGAGTTTTCCTCTCGGAAATTTCGACCCTCCCCCCCCCACACTGTCCCCGTATTTTCTATCGGTGAAGACGAAATCATGTTTTTTGTTATTTGCACTTTAGTTTTCGGTTTTTTTCTTCTCAATGTAGTGCAGGTAGTTTTGTTATAAGGACGCTACTTTTCATCGATTCTCAGAGGGGTCATGGTAGTTGGGACAGTGGAATGTGTCCTTTTGATTTGGGAGCTTAGACGCAGGTAGATCAGGTTACCAAGATGAACGTGCCAAATGCGGACAGAGTGACTGTTGATGAGTGATCAAACTGTTCCAAGTCATCCACCAGCTTTCTGCCAACTTTGATTCATGGTCGGTTGTCCCCTGGAATCCTGTAGAATCTCCCGTTTATAATGTTTTCAAACTCCTAAGTGGTCGTCTAGACGGGGCGTGTGATAATTTGGAGAGAAACACCTGTGAGCAAGTGGGAAGCAAAGCGTGTTTCCATGTTTTCACATTTCCCTTTGAGGGATGATGAATCTAGTTCACATACGCACTTTAACTGTTTGATTTTTGTCCTATCCTGATTGAATGAGGTTTGGGAAAAAACCGTCACTTGATGAAAACGCTACCTAGTAGGGCGTTGCACATTTTGAATGAGGACAGACGTACTTATTTTGAGGACGCAATCTGCAGCGACGTGTTACATGCCCATCGTGCTCCTCTTTAAGGTCACCCTTCATCCGCCATCACACAAAACATATTTGGTGTTTAGATTTACCTTGTTCTCTCAGCCCTTCATTCGAGGAGATAGAAAAAGCTGTGAGTTTGGACGAGACAAACAACCAATCAGCATGCAGTGCTCATCCACTGAGCAATATGCTTTCATCTACAGATTTGTAGGCTCCTCTCCTTGTTGTTGTGCTGACTAGTCAACTCTCCAGCATGGAAAAAATAAACTCAAGCTCCCGAAATAGTACATACGCTCAATCGCATCAGAACTTGGCGGTGGTCACTCGGTCCTTGAAATAGGGTCGAGATTATCGATCAGCTATCGGTCGAACCCCAATAATGACGGTGGATCAGCGCTTTCGTAGCGACTCATGGCTAATACAAGCTCCCTCGGGTTGAATTTTAGTGTGCGACAGAGATAGATTAGGAAAGCTGAAATCCAGATAGAATGGACCGAACTTGAACTCTTCCAATCAGATTATCCAGCACCAAAATAAATTTTGTTTAGGCCCGGTTGATGAACAAAAATGTTACAAGAACGACGGAGAGAAACAAACGCTTGGCTGAGGTTAGCCTGAGGTCAAACTAGAGACTCAACTAAATCTCAAGCTCTAGGGATGGGCACAGTTTGGACTTAAGCTTGAGCATAATTTATGGAACAGCATGTCTGAACGGTGTGTTTTGTTCGTAACTATGACCAGCTGTCGGTGGGTGCGGGACTTATGGAATTCCCATCCCGAACAGTTCTACTCATATCCAGGAGCAATTATTCTGGTGGGTCAAAACTAAAGGACGGGGTATCGGACTAGAGTTTCGATCATATTGGAACTCATCAGCCCAGTTATTTCCACCCATTGAAATGGACTCGCCAAGATGAGGTTGACCGTTCAAACGAGAGTGATGTGAGTATGAATATATATA